ATAGCCTGGGCAGATGTCCTTAATCTCTTAGTCACCAGCCTTCAGAACTTCGCCAAGTTCCTTTGTCTTCAGGATCTCCCTCTGCACAAAACTGGGTGTTCGCAGCTCACAGATCAAATGAGATAATGCATGTAAAAGTTTAGCATAGGGCCTGGCAGGGAGCAAACACTTACAAGGACAGCTGTCCCAGGAACCCCTGGCCAAGAAATCCTAGTGCTAGAAGGTACCGCTAGGCTGCTTTTTCCAAGGTGCCGTGCTACTTCCTAGAGGTAGAGGGATTTAAGTACAGAAGGCAAGTGCAGCCTGCAGTTTGTTAAACTGTTACTATGGAGGTCACTGGACATACGGCACTTTTGTTTTTAGATGACAGACTGAGCCATTTTCCTGTTGTAAGAGCTCAACTCTGAAACTTAATAGGTTGTAATGATGGCTCAATTAGGTGGAATTACTGGGGATAGCAGAGATGTGATATTCTAGTTAAAAAAATACTCTTCAGGTTACTGAAATTTAATTAAGTCTCTAAATATTCAACTTTAATATTTTACAGAAATCATACCTCTCTTTCTTAATTCTAAATGAGAATTTTGCTCATCCTAAGTAAAATTTTCAGCCAGACGGTACGATACTGAGGGCCAAGAAAGTGGTAAAATCATTGTCAGGATTTTTATTGCAAGTCATCGCTTTGATAATTGTTCTCAGCACAGGAATATTTAAGCAACTGACAATTTCAAATTTTGGGGACAGCTTGTGGGTCTGCAAAGATTTCTCGTTTAATGCAAAAATAAAACAACAACACAAATTTTACATCAATAGGAAAAAGTCTCTGTCTTATATTGCATTCTCTGGATAAATGTTTTGAGATGTATATAGAAATTAAATATTCTAAATAAAGTACGTTTTATTTTATGAGCGACCATGGCAAACACACACACACATACACACGCGTGCACACACGCATACACACACATGCAAGCATAAACCCAGTAGCTGGCAATCAAATTGTCCTTAATTTGCATAAAAGGAGGGTCTCCTGATTAGGAGAGAAGGTGACAGGCACTGCTAAAAGAGACACTTTAGGAGGTACATTAAAAATTGGAATTTTCTGAAAAACCAAAGAATTCCTTAGTTGTACAATTTTCAGGTACTTTATCAAATACGTTATCAATTATCTATAGCTTTAAATATTCTTTTGAATTTTGAATCAGAAACAAAACATGCCCTAAATGAAATTGTGTTTGCTTACACAGACCCTTTTGTTTTTTCAAGAGTGTCAAATGAAACTTTACTGCCATTTGCTTTTGTTTTATTCAGAACCACTTACATTGTCTGTTGAATTTCTGTCAAGGCATCAGTTAGCGCTTTAATGACCATTTGTAAAAGTATTTAAGAGCCTTTCCAGGCCTTCATCTTGCATAATATAGACATCAAAAATGCTCCTGGTTCTTGAACCTCTTTCTTTGGACTTACGTTTGGGATGTGAAGATGTGAAGATGTTCACTTTCCATGAAACTTATAAATTGGACTACTGCTGCCCGTTACTTTTCAATAAACTAGGTTGAAAATCACTACAGTAGAAACTCATGAAAAGTGCTCGGTCTGTCTGGCGTGCCGAGCGTGGGTCACATCTTTGGGTGCCACCATTGCGCAGGCTGGGACATTTCATTGTATCAGAGTTAGACCTGGGCTCAGCATGTTTGCTGTCTGGAGATCCTAACGGCTGGGGTGCCTTCTCCGTGGCAGTCTCTGAAACACGTAATGCTTCACAGGCAATCGTGATATGGAATACTTGTCCTCTAGGCCTCCTCATTCCCAACTCACATATACACTCACCTCTCCTTCACTCACCCGTTCATTCATTCATGGAACACATGCCAGCCAGGGGGGATCCGAGCTGTGTAAGCCTGTCTCCCTGCCGCCAAGGAGCTCCCAGAACAGTGGAGGGGATGCACATGAAACAGACTGCAGAAGCCACGGGGTAGGAACCTCCCTGAGCTATCACCAAGAGCAACGGGTAACACAGAGGGTGAAACTGTAATTGCGCTTTGGAGATTCCCATCTTCATGGGGGCAGTCATGCATGACCTGGGCCTCAAATGAGCAGGACTGGACAGGAGAGGTGGGCATGTTACAAACCATGTAAACAACGATAGGAAGGATGATGATACTTGTGGACTGCTGCATGGGCAAGTATCCTGGAGAAGGTGGGGCAAGGCAGGGGCCTGAACCCGGGTGCTGCAGCTGCTGTGGGTGGCTGCATTCACTAGGTCCTGAGCAACCTTTGCTGGACATGAACGATTTTTAAAATTGGAAGCCCTTCTTTGGTGAAAGAAATAACAAAAATAAAAAGAGTGCCGGGTGCTGTGGCTCACGCCTGCAATCCCAGCACTTTGGAAGGTGGGTGGATCACTTGAGGTTAGGAGTTCGAGACCAGCCTGGCCAACATGGTGAAACACCCATCTCTACTAAAAATACAAAAAACTTAGCTGGGCGTGGTGGCACATGCCTGTAATCCCAGCTACTTGGGAGACTGAGGCAGGAGAACTGCTTAAACCCAGGAGATGGAGGTTGCAGTGAGTGAAGATCATGCCACTGTACTCCAGCCTGGGCGACGGAGGGAGACTGTCTCCCAAAATAAATAAATAAGCAAATAAAATAAAATAGAAAGGGAAAGTTGCTGATTTTGATCAATAGAGGGTGTTGTTACAGAAGCAGGCTGGTTCAACGATAATTAAATAAACATAATATCTATCTCCAGAGTTAGAGAAAGAGCACCAAAGCACCCCTCATCTTTAAAAGGCTGAGAGTCAAAATGGCTATTTTCCCACCAAAACCCCAGAGCTATTTTCTCCTTGACCCTGTGTCTCTCTGCTGAATGCATCCTCTACTTCTGATCAGCATCCCTGACCATGAATGAGCATTCGCCTCAGGCTACCCACGACTGCATATGTCCACCCTGGCTGACAGATGCAGGGCTGCCTCTTGAGGGCTAATGCTATTTCTCCTTCTTTCCTTCTCCTTACACAAAACATATATTCTGAATTTTATGCCATAAATAAAGGCATGTTATAGGTAACATATTGTCCTTTACACACACTTTAGATTTCGTCTAATAGCGTCCAATGCAATTGAATCAGTGATGTGCTTTAAGAGCTCATTACATAAACAGGCCAACGTGAAATGATAAACCAGTGACAGGGCAGCCCCTACCTCATTAGTCAGTTAGATCACCGGCAAGTCCGCCTGCTGACAGGCCACGCCACAAAGGCCTGCTGCAGAGATAGATCGCACTCCTCTGTGAACAATATATGACTGTCGATTCACAATCTAATGAAAGCCAGGCTTCCTTTTAGTAGTCCCACAACACATTCGTCCTTAGGCCCTAAAAAGAAATTTAACTGCAATGCACTGACTTTTGTGGCTGCTTTCTACAGGGAGAGAAAGGATACAATGCCTTTTAAAGCCTCAGAAGTTTCCATTTTTAGTTATAAGAGCTAGATCCTCTTTGGACAGACACCTCTCTCATGCAGGACCCAAAAGACCCAAAAAGCTTTTGAGGCCACAGTAATACCTGGTCTTTTTCAGGGTGAAATGCAAGAGACTGTGTAAAGCTAGTGGGTGAAACTTCACAGTCTTCCATTCAAGACAGAGTGACTCAGCATTCCATCTGTAGAATGGCGGGAATGCGTGTGGGGTTATGGCTTGCTGAGTGTCTTTATTCCACAATGTGTGTGATGCTCGCAGGTGGTGGATGTGCTCACAAAGACCAATGACACCGCCTTCCACACTCCTCGGCCTGCACTGTCTGTGCAGCTAAACAGTCATATCACGCTGCCCGCTGGAAACAACTCATTGGCTGCGGTTCAGAAAAGCTGACACAAAGGGGCTCGCTGTATTAACGCGTGTAATGCCAAAGGAGGTAACCACCCCGACAATAAAAATCCATTTTTGTTACAGAGGCTGCTCATTTTACGAAAGCATTTATACTAGAATGAAAACAAACAACAAACAAGCAAACAAAAAGACCTAGTTGTGGTTGCTGGTTTCCCTCTTCTCCAAGTGACACCAGGAAAAAAAGAATGGGGAAAGAGAGAAGACAAAAAATTACATGCAATGAGAAATTCAGAGCTGGGGTAGTTATTGCAATCTTATGCAACTTTTGATTCGATAATAACATTCTGGATGAAATGGAATTTGTCCTAACACAGGCATCTCCAAGAGCACATTTGGGAGGATGACTAACGCCAGGGCTCACTAGGTCAGGGCCATGCTACTGACTTGAAGGTCATGGGACGGGGTGGTTGGTGAGGAGCTTGCGCCAGAATCAACGCTGCCTTCTTCCTTGAGAAAGTTTGCTCTGGAAACCATGGCAACTGAATGAAACAATGCGCTCTGTGACGCAGTCATTTACAGTGTGGTTCAAGCTTGCTTTCTATCCCAGCCACTGACAACCAACACGAAAGTAACCAGCAGCCAGTCTGCCGCCATGGGCCACACCTGGGGTAGCACTGGCCTGGGAGTCAGTTGATTCAACAGCTCACTTTTCTGGCAAGGAAATTAAGGAGCTTTCTTGAGAACACATCTAGTTAGTGGGACAGAGAGGACATGGACCTATTTCTGCCACCTCAGAGGACTGTCTGCCACCTCATGCTTTGCTATGAAAAAAAAAAAAAAGCAGTTTGAAAACATTTTTGCTAGGATGAAATGAGAGCATGCGGTCAGGGACATCAGTTCCACTATTTCTGTAGAGACTACTCTTAGGACTTTGATCAAGAGTCAAGGAAAAAAAAAGACAACCACTTTATCTCTCTGAGATACAGAATTTGCTGTAAAAGTATTCCAAATGTGGATACAAATACTACATTTTAAGAAAAGGACTTTCAACTTAATTTTGAAAAAAGTTTCGTAAAATTTGAGTTTTGGTGTCATAACACTGAGCATGAGTGAAGGGCTCACCCCATGGGAAAAGCACCCCATGGGAATACAAGTGTTTGCTGGGTTTACCTTCCATGTGACCCTGATGCTCTGAGATGATATAGGCTCCAGGTGAACTTCCTGAGGTGGACCGTCAGGAGCTGTAAGGACCAAAAACCCACAGGCAGGTTAGAGATGTGCTCTGGAGCAGACTGAAACCTACACAGCCAAAGGCGGTCCCTGAAGACATCCCATCCCCACATTTGGCACAGAGAAAGAAATTTTTTTTTTTTTTTTTGAAATGGAATCTTGCTCTGTTGCCAGGCTGGAGTGCAGTGGTGCGATCTCAGCTCACTGCTGCCTCTACCTCCTGGGTTCAAGTGATTCTTCTGCCTCAGCTTCCCGAACAGCTGGGACTATAGGGGCGCACACCATGTCCAGCTAATTTTTGTGATTTTAGTAGAGACGGGGTTTCACCATGTTGGCCAGGATGGTGTCGATCTCTTGACCTCGTGATCCACCCACCTTGGCCTCCTAAAGTGCTGAGATTACAGGTGTGAGCCACCGTGCCCACACAGGGAAAAGTTTTTACTGGTCATGGGAAATTTCAATTTTATAGAGTCACTGTGTATAACTCTTGGCTGGTATTTATTTGCTCCTTGGAAAAATGAATCCTGGGGACCTATCATTGTATTCCTTCTCACCATGTCTTTGACACCTTTGTGAATGAATCCCAATTTTGAACAAATTAAGGGGTACAACAGAAAGTTGCAAAACAAAATTTCCCTTGTAAAACACTGTCTATGGTGTGCGTTGAAGGTCCTTCCCTTTCCTCTGGAAGATTTGCTTAGTGATGTGGTATCGGGGTTTATCACTTGCTTAGAATGACTTGGGACAAAAATAATTAAGATTCTTCTGCCTTTGGGTGTCTTTCATGGCTTTAGCTCTTCACACATTCCAATTAAAAACCCTTGTGAACCAGGGGCTCTAGCCACAGAAGGCTGAAGCAATGTTGAAAAGAAAAATCAAATGTGCAGTTTAACCTATTTCTGCGGAATGTATAATAAGTCAGGGGGTCACTGAGAGACGATTCCAAGTACATCCCAGTGAGAGCTGATGAGCGTGTGTTGGAAATGTGTTGCAGACTAGGTGCATGGTGTAGAACTAAGAGATGTAAAACGTTTTGCCACCCAAGAGTTCAGAGTATAATCAGCTATCAGATACACACACTGAAGGAAGCTTGCAACGCAAGGCAGCAGGTAAGCAAGTGTCTTCTGAGAAGCAGGGGCAAAGAGTGACACAGGGGTCAGAGGGAAAGAGTCCATTAGATTAAAAAATGTTTTTGGATTGACAATTTTGAGATCACAGTAGAACTACAGAAAGCCAGTTCTGTGGACATTTGCAAAAGCCTGCATGCCACACATGCAATAAGAAAACAGAAGTAGTGAAAATGAACTCATTTTGGGGAGTTTGGAAGTAATAGGAAGAGTAAAGATACCTTAAAGAAAAAGGGTAGACTGGGGAAGGGCATGACCCAGGGGAAGCTGGCTTCCTTTTTTATAGAGGAAGAGGAAGTTCTGAGTAGAACCGTGATGTAGTTGCTAAGTTGATGGATATTTAAGGTTTTTCTGTCCAAGTTCACATTCTGGTTCTGTCACTTGTTAGCTGTGTGTTTTTTTGTGTGTGTGTGTGTGTTTCTTGTCTGTGACTCCATTTCTCTTTATCTATATAATGGGACAATAGAATATGTATCATAGGGTTGTTATGAAAACAATGTGCTCCGTAAATAGAAGAAATTACAAGCATAATATAATTACCATTAAGTGTTTTTAAAATGGGGGAAGCAAATGGGAGAAATTTAACAACAACAACAAAAGGTAAACTTGAAGGAACAATGCATATCCTGGCAGAAACTGAAGAGGGCAGAAGATATAGGCTGCAGAGTGAGTGGGGCACAGAAAGGAACAAATGCCTCTGGGATGGGAGGAGGGCGGAGTGAGGCTTATTGGTTGACGGAAGCCAGGTGAGGGCAGACACAGGTAAATTTACTGACTGAAAGAAGCAGGTTGAAACCTGATTGTTGGTTTTCTCGACATTATGACAATAAGCCAAGCAGGAAATCAGAATGGGAACTTGAAGGAGAGAGTTATGGGCTTTAGCAACAAAACAACGGCTTGGAAAACAGCTATGGTCTATAGGAAACGGAATGCCCTGTGTCTGGTAGCACTAAGGCACTCTATCAAGGTGCCCCCACCCTGGGGGTCAGTGCTCTAAGATGCAGGGATTGCTACTGCAAGAGAATAATGGAACTCCACAGCTCCTCCCACGCACTGAGGATGAAGCAGGAAGCTGATTCCGCAGATCCGGGGCTGGTGGGACTAGGAGAGAATGAAGCTATAAGAATGCCAAGAGGCCAGGAGTGGTGGCTAATTTCTGTAATTCCATTACTTTGGGAGGCTGAGATGGGTGGATCATGAGATCAGGAGTTCAAGACCAGCCTGGCCAACATAGTGAAACCCCATCTATTAAAAATACAAAAAATTAGCTGGGTGTGGTGGCAGGCGCCTTTAATCTCAGCTACTTGGGAGGCTGAGGCAGGAGAATCACCTGAACCCAGGAGACTGAGGTTGCAGTGAATGGAGATTGTGCCGTTGCACTCCAGCCTGGGCAACAGTGCGAGAATCCATCTAAAAAAAAAATGCCAAGAAACGAAGCTGATTCTCCAGATTATATAGTTCATTACCTTGCGGTTTAGAAATATGAGTTTGAAGGGAAATGAGTATATTGCAGCCTCAATTTTCCTGATAAGATATATTCATAATTAAAACAAAGGTGTTAAAAGACAGGAACTGTGGAAAGAGAGGAGGTGGGAGTTAGGTTCCCTGCACTCCTCATTCACACACTTGCTGATGCTGTCCCTGACATCTGTTCCAAATGGCCCCTGTCCTCTGCTTTCTCCACTATTGCCCTCTTGGGGATCTCTGAGTCCTTCACTCTGATGCCCTACTCCTACCCCACCTCTATGCCTGGTGACAGTTTCTATTTAGTTCCTAAACATTAATTCTGTTCTCTATTGTACTCTTTAAAAGGGACATGGCCCCACTGTGCACTTCACACTGTTCACCTGCCCTAGTAATGTTCTGCTCCCAGACGGCACCTTGCCAACCTCCTCATGCTTTTGTTCTGCATATCCCCCATGTGTCCTGTGTCCCAGCCATGTCCCCAACACACTGGACCCCTGGGCAGATCAGAGCCTTTGCCCTGGTGCTTTCTTCTCCCTCCACCAGGGTTTCCTGCCCGTGCCTGTGGGCCTCCCGCTGCAGTTTATCCCTGCCTGGGTCTGGGGACCTGTCCCTGTAGTGTGTGCATACTTTTGCATGTCTGTCTTTGTATGTCTCTGGTCACCCAGCATACTCTACATGGCCTCAGGACCTGAGCCCAGAGTGAGTCCTTGCTTTGAAGGGGTAAAGCAATTTGTAGATGCTGAAATGCTGAGCGTACATCCCTTCCTCAGCAGGTCCGGGGACAGCTGGAAGTCTGGAGTGCTGCCGCCTCTCAGATCTATTCCAAAAGTGCAAAGGCTCTGTGAGAACTGAAGTTAATGTCCGGAACAGGGGCTGAGGGAGAGGCTGGCATCCAGCTAATGGTGATAATTATTGCTAAGCCTCTGTGCCCAATTTCTTGCTCACGGCATCAAGCTCTTAGGCAGGAAACTTTGAAAATCAAACTCAATACAAACTCATGGGTTGGATTTCCCTCACACACTGATAATTCTGTGCTCATTGAAAAGCACATGGTTTTCTGTAAATATCCTTCTTGAAAAATGATTTTTGAGTCTGACATCTATACTGATGCTGGGTTACTTTAATTTAGTTACACTTAACTAAAGTTAACAAGAAGCCAGTTTGTTAGGAATTGGAGGCAATGTCAGGGACACTGCCCCATCCTCAATCCTTTCGGCTGCCTGGGGTGTGGCCTTTGGTGTGGTCCTCTCCGGAAGATGGCAGGCAAGAGTTGCAGCCTTGATTTTCCAGTTGAGATATATTCATAATTAAAGGTGCTAGCACAGTGCTTACAAGAATGTCCTCAATTCTGTCAGAAAGCATAAATTCTATAATGTAATTGTGATTTGGGAATAACTTGCTTTTTCAATCTGGTATGGTATTTTATTTTATTTTATTTTTCTTGAGACAGGGTCTCACTCTGTCACCCATCACCCAGGCTGGAGTGCAGTGGCACAATCTCACTGACTGCAACCTCTACTACCTGGGTTCAAGCGATTCTCCTGCTTCAATCTCCCAAGTAGCTGGGATTACAGGCATGTGCCACCATGCCTGGCTGATTTTTTTGTATTTTTAATAGAGATGGGGTTTCACCATGTTGCTCAGGCTAGTCTCAAACTCCTGGCCTCAAGTGATCCGCCCCACTCAGGCTCCCAAAGTGCTGGGATTACAGGTGTGAGCCACCACACCAGGCCCAGGTCTGGCATTTTATGAAGGTCTCCACTGAAAAGAAGAGGGGGCACAGTTCTTGTCTCTGGGACAGACTTGACCATTTTTAAGCATGTAACAGCTTTAATACTTAGCCTGCCAATGCTGCAGTGATTTGTCAGTAATGTATTTATTGTTCTGCCTGTTCCCTGAAGTGAAAATATTTGGACCTCTCCTCTTAAAAAAAGTGGTGAAAAAAGTCCAGACAAACCAAAAAAAATCTAACTTATACACATACATTAGGGCTGTGCACAGTATCATTGGGAAGGTTTTTTGTTTGCTTGTGTTTTACAAAGGACACGGAATTTTCTACTACATTACTAAAACATTACTTTCAAAAGTTATAAATTATAAAAAATTTGCTTTAAGAATTTTATTGTTGTCTGTATAACTCCTGAGCTGTAATTTTTTTCATAGGTTCTCATCTCATTGCCAGTGACGTCAATAAAATTACAATACAAAGCAGATTGAGTTCCCAATGCAAAACGTATGAAGGATAAATCATTGGGTATATCCATTTATTTAACTAAATTTGAAAACTGTGTTGACATTGGACATTTAAGAATTTACTTACATGGTTTCAAATGTAATATACAGAGAAAGCAGAATTGGCTTCCTTACCCTGCACCCCCAACCCTGCATATTTAGCTTATTTCCTGGGGAAGGAGAAG